GTAGACTTACCTGTTGCTCCTCTATATCACATGATATTGACTCCTCCACGTGTTTTACCAGTTAAATATGACAAGTGATCCGTTTAATAACGCTATAATCCGTTATCACGACAAGCCGAAATTACAACATATGATATGTCGTAATTACGACATATACCTATGTCGAAATTACGACATGATATGTCGAAATTTCGACATAGTAAGTCGTAATTACGACATACGTATGTAGAAAATTCAACATAGTAAGCCGTAATTACGACATAAAAATATATATTTCAGTGGCCCTAATAGGCTTTCGTATAAATTGAACTATAGAATCGACTGTCAATCACTTGTTTTATTCTTGCATTGATTCAAATACAAGGCCCATACAAAGACTGAATCCCAGGGCCGTAAAAGTGAATGGTTTGTCGTGTGTTGTTCTACCAAAATCGAGCACAGGTCCTTCGCGACAAAATGAGGCAGACACAAACTAACAGACTTGCAAATAGTGCATGCGCAAAATATGTTCCGTATAAGGATGGTTATGAATAATTCATGAGGTTTTGCCAAACTATGACTTTTGCAAGTGGCGCAGTGCATAAGTCAATAGACTCCCGAACCCCAGGAAAAATCACCGAAAATCTTGTTTCATGTTTTAGCCACTCGAGTATTTAGGCCCACTTAAATTGCAGCTCCAGGCCCCACAGCTCTTTAATTCGGCAATGTATACGTGTTTGCACATGCAGTATCTTTTATTTTAAATGCTTATATATTATATTTTTTTAGAACCTTTCATTCTTAATTTTTTTTGTATTACAAGTAAAATATATAGACATTTTTGTCAAATGATTATGTAAAACATTTGATATTTACGTATTCTATCAGAGATTTTCCTTCTTTCTCTTATTACATGAAACATCAGCTAGAGTTGATCTAGAAAAACATACACCCTGATGAATTATACGTGACATCAACAGTTTATAAATATGTGATAATACTCGCTAACACCTTACAAAGTGACATTTCTATATTCTGTCAGATATTTAGGATTTTCTTGGTCTTATTACTGCATCGCTGAATATTACACATCGCATATTATATATAACAGCAGGCAGGGAGTTGTTATATCAACTCCCTGATAACAGATATAACAGCATACAAAGAAGTCAAGCTTACATATAAAAAAAATATACAGACTGAATGTGTATTATGTATGATGGTATGGGATTGAGGGCGCACTACTTAATTTCCATCTTGAAAACTTCAGTGAAGTCCAGCAGTCCTATTTGAACCTCAGGAGATTTAAACACATTGATTTTATCATGGAGGTGATAACATAGCATAGCATAAGAAAAAATATAATATAATATAATATAATATAATATAATATAATATAATATAATATAATATAATATAATATAATATAATATAATATAATATAATATAATATAATATAATATACTGACGTTAAAGAACACAGTAAACTCTTCAAAAAAGAAGAGATTTTCCCACAGTGTACTGCCCAATTCACTACCAGGACCCATAGGAAATTATTGTTCGGACTTTTTTTTTTGGCTATCCTAAAACCAAATTATAAGAGAAAAATTACTACAAGTTGAACTGCAATGATGTTTTTAATAGAAATAGTAGCCGTGTTAGTCTCTAAACCGTGATTGTCTACATGATAAACAGTAAATAGAGCACTTCACAGACTAACGAATTTTAAAAACACAGTTTCGACCACACAGTTGTCTTCAAGATTATTGTGTCGTCGAAGACTTGTGTATCCATAACATTTTAAAGTATGTATTAGTGCGGTTAGTCCTAAATATAGTCCCGATACCCTTAAAGTTAATTAAAGTTTTTAGAGATCGTTAAGGTAGTTAGCCCAAATTATGTTATTAGCCTCAGATAAGGAAGAATCAGCGAGCAATATAGAATACGTAAAATGTTTAAGTGAAAAATTAAGAAAGTTTAAAAATGACACCAAAAATTCTTGGAAATTTTTTTTTCAACACCTTTGATGTTTGTGTAATCCACCATCGACACCTAAAAATATGGCACTATGGTTATCAATTATAATATTATGGAGAGTAGGCTTACTATCGATCAATCTATATTTTTGGGACTCCCAAAACAGAATTAAATTGCACTTTTTTATGGTTAATAGGAGCTTGGTACTAGATATAAGTGTCATATGATGATATCAAAAAGAGAATGAATATATTTAGAAGAATAAAATGCGGTAGTGTTATCAGCATAAAGGTAAAAAGAGAGCAAATTAAAAAAAACCTGTGGATGACCTAAGAGGAACTAATAGGACCCTATTGAAAATTGCGGAACACTACAGATTATTGGAGAGAATTAATTTGTAATTCATTTAATTGTAATTTGAGTAGGCTTCGCCTATTTGGTACACTGAGAACGGTTAGATATATAACTTTTGAAAAGATTAAGTGCCAATACCTGTATACCATAATGAGATAACTTATATAAAAGGATATCTTGGTTGATTGTGTCGAAAGCTTTAGAAAGGTCAATGAACTCTTAAAATGTAAATTGCATCGACAATTTGATTAGTAAGATCCGTCAGAGCAGGGGTGTGTATGCCTTTCTAAAACCAAATTGTCGATTTCCGGTACAGTATATAAAATACAATACAGTAGAAGTCCCATTTACAAGGGGACAACTTCAGGACCTAAAAAAGAGTCCCCTTAATAGCAGGGGTGGCGCCAGCGGGGGGGGGAGGGCCCCGTCGGGGAGAGCTCCCCCCTCCCGTTGGAGAGAAAAAGCACAATTCGTCGGGGAGAAAAAAAATATTATGTGTATTTTTTACATATTATTAGACTCTAAAATCGATTAAATAAGCCTTTGAAACCCCGAAATTTTCGGGGGCTTCGCCCACT